AAATGTGGTTTTCATGATGTTTTGATTGGAGAACCATTTAAATGCATTCAAAAACAATTCCCACAAAAAAAGACTCGAAAACCACTTCATTTAAGTGAAAACCATGGCTAGCCAAGTTTATGCCATTTCGCGTGGTTTTTATCAAACGACAAAAAACGAAAGGTGGTTTTTGAAGTGTTTTTGATGGAAAACTATTTAAATGTGCCCAGAAGTAAAAACCAATCATAAAAAGTTGAAAACCACTTGGTTAGTTCGGACGCCAAAAACCAACGACGAAAACCGAATGCCGAACGCCGGTTTCTAAAACCCGAACAACGGATGGCTTGATTTTTGGTTTGGGCGAACACCAAGTGTTTTTAATGTTTTAAACATGTTTGAAAAACATTTTTATGATGTGTGAAATGCAATGAATAGAATTTTAGCCTAAAGAGCCAAGGTGTAAAGGTTGGGTCGGTCTTGATCACAATTATGACCGACTCAGCAACACTAAGACTACGGTCTTCGTTCTTGGTCTTCTTTTGGGTCTTGTTATCTTGCTTTCTTCTTATACTTATTTCCTGCCTTGTATATTCAACAACTTGTCTCGTTCACGGCGGTTTGGCATTATCAAAACCTGTCATAAAAACGAACACGGCTTTAGTACGAAAACACGATAAACCCGTGTTTCAACATCATGCTCCTATTCTTCATTTCTTTCAAAAATTTCTGCAATCTCTCTCTCCTCTCTTGTTGCAATGGCAGGCGGTCAAAGAAAGCGTTCCCGCACTGGCAAGAACGTTGCTTCCTCTTCGGCTCCTCCACCACCGGCGCACAAGTATCTCGACGGGTCGTTCCTTTGGTTCAACGACCACGCAGAGGCGACGCGGTTCTCGGAGAAATTTGAGCACCGAGAGATTCTCCCTCCCCGATTCTCCACCGCCCGCTTCATTCATGACTCCATTCCACGTGAGGCACAGATTATCCTCGAACGTGGAAACTTCCTCGATCTCCTCTACATCAAGAAGGTCAACTATCAACCCTTTCTTGTTCGAGCTTTCTACTCGAACTTGAAAAAGGATGAGGACGGAGCATTGATCTCTAATGTCAACGGAGTGGACATCTATTTGAATGAGGAGAACATTCAAATCCTCACCGGGCTTCCTCGGGATGGACAGGATCTCGGGCTCTACGCCGGAGAAGAAGGAGCGCGGTTCAATGAGACCGCTCTCTTGGAGGAAGTGGGCATCCGACACTTCGTACCCACTGCCCAACAGCGGCGCCCTACGATTGCTTCCATGAGTCCCGTGTTTCGATTCATCTTTTATGTTTTGACACGGATTCTCAAGCCCAGGAAGTTCAATCACACCACTCTCTCCCAGGAGGACACGAAGACAATTCATGCAATGATTCACAACGCCAATCTCAATTGGTGTAAATTTGTGATGATCCACATGTTCAACGCCACCTCCGACAACCGGCCGCTCCCTTATGCTCTTCTTGTCATGGCAATCCTTGATGAGTTCCACATCAAGACGAACATCGGGCCGAAATGCAAAGGGACGAAGCATTGGGTGATTGATGAGTCCTCTTTCCACCCGGGAACAGATGAAGCTTCATTCCCGCTGCCTCGTCCTCGCCGCCAACCGAGAGCTACTGCCTCGACTGCCACCACTTCAACCAATCCGTCTCTCGCCGAGCAAATGGCAGCGTTGACCACCACTCTCTCTCGGATAGACACCAACGTCTCCAAAACGGCACACAATGTCGATATTTTGAGTCGTGAGCTTCACGAGTATTTTGACTTTGTCAATTACCCTTACGCTAAAATGGTCCCCTACGTTCCTCCACCGAATTTCGGAGGTGAACCAAGCGGGACTCAAAATGTTGGTAGGGACGACGCGGTGGACGTTGAAGAAGAAGAAGCAGAAGAAGAAGAAGAGGAGGAAGAAGAAGCCGATGATGATAATGATGATGGCGATGGTGATGAAGATGGAGATGATGAAGAAGAAGACATTGACGAAGAACAACTTCTCAATGATCTTTCCTCGGATTTCTAAGCGCTCTAGCTCTATTTTTCTCCTCTTCCTTATTTATTTGTCATCTTTTAATATGCTTTCGTTATGAACTCCTCTATTTCCATTAAATAATAAATAAAAATCTTTATGGTCTTTTTGTTAATGTCAAAAGGGGGAAGATAAGGGCTATGCATATTTTCAGGGGGAATTTTATTAACGGGGAATTTTGTTTCAAAAAGATCAAAACCCTATGCATATCCCCGTCTTGTTTGCCATTATCAAAAAGGGGGAAATTGTTGGAACACACTTTGTATGTTAAACTAAAGTCGTGTTCATTTCTGACAGGTTTTGATAATTGCCAAACCGCCGTGGATATGAAGAGTTTCGTTGAATAACTCAAGGCGTGAAGAATGGCTTGGAACAAGACCTAAAAGACTCAAGGACAAGATCAAGAATTGAAGACTTAGTCGAGTCGGTCTTTTGTGATCAAAACCGACAATTTATTCAAGTC